TGGTTTTTTACTACATACCACTTGGATGGCATATGGAAACTAACCTCTAAATACCAATTCAGCAATATTATTTCATTGGAGAATAAGAATGAAATTTAGCAACAGAAGACCAGTAGGCTCAAGGGAAATTCATGCTACATGGGACATGATAAGTTACCTTAAAAGCTTCTTAGTTCACATGTTGACACCCAATTTGGCTGGTTAAATTCCACCTACTCTTAAGGGCATGTGGTTAACAAGAAATAAGTGGAGTCCTCTCACTTTCCCTCCATTAAGGAAGTCAAGAGCCTCCACCTCCTCATCTTTGTCTCTCCATCCCAAAATTCAGAGGCTCCAGCATTGGCATGGCACTAGCTGTTTGATTTTCTTTTTTTGATAAAGTATAATATTTGCTTTATTAATCCAATGAAAGAAAATTCAATATTTTTCACAATCTGCACCACCTGTTTGATTAGGCACTTCCAGTTTCCAAAAGAACTACATATAGTATATTTTTTGGTGCCATGGTTATTTCCTGAAAAAACACTGCCACATCAGTGCCATGTAGCCATTTTGACTTTACCTAACCAAAATCTAATTTGGTTGGGCTGATTCAAGTAGAACCAGTTGTACCTTCTCTCACCTTTGTTTATGCAAAAGTGACTTTTGATAGAAACAACTTTTTGAGGTTTCTTGCTCCTAAAGGCGTTTTCACTTCTAATGTCCCATGTGGTGCCTAATGGCACCTTTGTGTATTAAACAACAATAAACAAATGTGCACTAGGTTATGTACACAACTTGACTACTTTCCCAATTTCCAAGACTAGACTCGAGTATAAATGTTGCCACTTCTACCGACCATGGTGCCAAACACCCTTACACCCCCATAGACAATTAGACATATATAAAGCTTTGCAAGCAAGGTTTCAATTATTAGTGTGCCCAGTACTTCCATCTAGTTACAAAATTGTGAGTCAAACCAAAATAATTGTAATGACCAAAGTTCAGCATGATAAAGAACATAGAGTTGAAATGCTAAAAGAGTTACCTTTTGCAGCCTTTGTTTCTTCTCTTCTTTTAGGGCAAGTACTGTCTTAGCCAACTTTGATAGTGTATCATTACTAATACTCTTGGCTTGCACACCAACAGAGTCATTTAAGCTTGGGTGAACTTCAGTAATAGTACTGAAGAAATCCATGCCCAACGCAGCACAGAGGTCATGTACAGTGCTTACAAAGTCAAGGACTTTGTGCAATCTATCACTCTGCCACATTGGAAAGTCAATGGATTATTACCAATATAATCAATGTGAAAGTTAAAACAACTAAATCACAATCACCTTTAACTTAATAACTTTTCATCTACCGGATGATCAGGGGAGAGAGACTACCTTTTCTTTTTGAAGTTCCTGGAGTTGAGCATGAAATTCATCCAACTTCTTGAGGGATAGGTCTGCTTCATCAACCGTAGGAGGCCCCACCTGCTCACTAAGTTTCAAGTTCCCAGCAACCTCCCCACATATTTTCTGAATCTGTAACTGTACATCAGAAAATTCCTTTATTCTTTCCTCTTTTTGCTTCCAAAGCTTTTCCAACACAGGTGCTATAGCTGCAAGTTGCTCCCTAATTGTCCCAGTAGTCTTCTCTGGCTGTAAGACATAAAAGGCCATATCCATGAGAAAACCTGAATGGGTTTGCACTGATGTACATAGAGGAATATATGCCTATAAAGTTGCTCACAAATTTCTACTTGAAGTTTTTCTGACAAAAAAAAAATTAAGGACCCATTATGTACATTCTATCATAGATAAAACGAGATGAGCGTTCACTCACAGCTCCAGCAAAGCTTTTTTCCCCCAAAGCTGAGAGAAGATTGGACAATTCAGATTGGGCATCATCCAAGGCCTGAAGAAGCTGTTCCCTTGACTTTGCAGCCTGATCAACCTTCCTCTTGTAAACATCCAAGCACTCTTGTTCTAATTGAAGTAACATCTTGTCACGCTCCTCCTCACTCTCACCAACTTCATCCCATATTTGCTGCATTACAAACCCAAACTTCAGTTTTATTTCCTCTGCTCAATATGTAACTTCATGTTCCAATAATAAAAAACGTGCATAAATAAAATGAAAATGAAATATGATAGACTTTCAAGTTGGAAAGGTTAAAAAGGATTGCCTGCAATTTCTGCAGCAAAGACCCGCAAGTTATCTCGTTGAGAAGTGGGTTTTGAGCATCAGTGACCGCCATTCTAGCTTATTCAAATATTACAACTTCACCTGCATTAAGAAAGAGAATACAATATATATACATATACACATAATGACAACACACACAGAAAAACTGTATGTATCAAGAAAGAAAAGGCCAATCCAGTTACCTTAACGAAACAGAGATTGGCACTTCAACAAACAGGTGAAACATACACTCGTTTCTTCATATATCTGAAAAGAGCCATACTGATGAGCCAAGATGATCAAAAATCGTTTTAAATAACCATACCAAATAATAACAAAGCCGAGCAAACATTCTAAAAGATTCCATGTCAAAAAAGGCATAGGTTGCCACAGTCCAGGGGTATGCATAATTAAGCTAATATTCTAATCCATCTGCATCGTAAACCATTGTAAAAGGTCCCAAGCTTTTAGACGCGAATATTATGAAGAATTGAAGATAAAAGAAAAGGGAAGAAATGGACTTCGTTGCAAGGATTAAAACAGCGTTACAGCAGATCTATTAGGTGAGTCCTTTCTTGGGTATAATAGAATTCAAATCTGCCATTAAACTATAGAATCGTGAAATCAGACCTCAACTCTCTCTGTCTCTCCTAATATAAAACAAAATGCAGGTATTACCGTTGAAGACCTGAATAATGGTCTTAATATAAAAATTATTTCTTCGACCCAAACATTTTTTCGGCACAAAAATTGACCCAAGTCAAGATCTTACATTACACGCCAGACAACATAATAGAGATAACTCTGCATCTAGAATTGCAGTACTACATTACAAGTACCAAAAATCTTAGCCTTAGGCCCTACTTCGTTCGGCTTAAAACTTAAAAGCACTTAAAATCGACAGAATCTAGTTACTCAGGTGAAAATCACAAGTTCCCGGATAATTGAAACTAAAAATAAGCACTAAGCCAAGATCACAAACTGCAAAGCAGTTAACCAACCTAGTACTACTAATTACAGGAATTTCAACTTCCAAAATCGAAAGCTAACCAGTAGCATTCAAGAAAGTCAAGCTCTAAACACACAGAAACCCTCACTCCTCCAATATCCCCGTCAACCAAACCACCGGTACCCCCACATTCGTGAAGCAGATAATAGATGAAGTGAGAAACTCTCAGATCTTTACCCATTTCATCTCGAGTCAAAAAGAAAACACGATTGAACATGAGATCACGACGGGAGTAACAGTGACACTTGGTACATGCATTATAAAAGAACAACAGCTGAAAGATCAGACAATGCGGACTGAGACGTACCAAGATCGTTCTTGGAGCTAGGGCTAGAGAGATTTCAGTTTTAGATCTAAGCTTTTCGTCTAAGTTCAGTGTTATCTGCGTCGAGAGACAGAGCAGATGGACAAGGTCGAAGAGCTACCCAGACAAAGGAGACAGCAATATAGATACAGTGTGGGGGGGGAAAAGGAAAAGAAAAAGGAAATACGGTGCAGTGCCACAGTGGGGCCCTTAATCACCTCATAGTCATATCATAATTTTTTGTCTAAAATGTACTGAAAAATGAAAATCCTTATTACTATGAGCGCAATTACAAAAAAAGATACAGCTTTATAACCAAATTACCTATTTGCCACGCTAAATTTGACTCAACTACTCCGAATTTTGACCATCCACTGGTCTTCAATTTCATCTCATCAAGACTGGGAATCTGGGACCCCTGAACTCAAAATCGAGACACGCGTCCACTGGGATTCAGGTGAAAAGATTCCTTGGTTGGACATCTGAGCCGTAGATTTTTCCATAGTTGAGAAATTTTACCCCGGTAATTGGTAAAGCAGATCTTCTAGAAACACGAGGCGCCCTACTCCATAAATGATAAATCAGATCCGAGTCCAACTATCTATGGGCCACCGAAATGCTTCTTGGGAATTGGGATTTGGCAGCCAGATGATCCTAACCGTCCGATCTGCTTTTTAACTGCCAATTGGGCAAATAGGACATATCACTACCTGGTACAGCAGGGAACATGAAAGAGATAAAAGTAAATTACGTGGACACATGACACATCATCATCAATCAAAATCCAAAAGACGGTGCTGAGTAGCTGATCAATAATGGGAAAGTCCAAATCCCAAAATGATACGACGAAGGCAGGGGCAATTAGTGTGGGTGACAATGTGACATAAAAGCTGTTGGAAAACAACACTAAACGTTGGTTGCTGCCGGGCAAAATGAGATACGCGTCATCGCCTTTGCTAGGTGTCCTCAATAAACATCTCCATCTTTACTTTCTTTTTTTTTTTTTATTGGCAATCAAGGTTATATATAATCGTGATTAATTACTTAATTTGTTGAAGACTTGGTGGGAGATTTTGGGATTTTCGGCGACTTGCAATACCATCCATCGTGGCTTCGTGGGAGTAACTATTTCGCTAATAATCGGCAGAGGCCCATGTCCTTCGTCTGAAATGGCCGCCAATAATAGCTCTCCTATCATCGATTTTACCATAAATGCGTGGTCGTTGTTAACCTCGCCGTGCCTCGGTGAAATCCTGATCTTGCACTCTAGCTTTGCCCACGTGACACCTTTTGATTAGTGGTCAATAGTTGGCCGTAGCATAATTATAATAATCCAATTAGGGTAAAATATAAAAACCTCTCCTCTAATTTTTCTTGAGCAAAAATCTCCCCTAAACTTTTAAAATCTCGGAAAAAACCTCCCTTTCATCAGCGATTCAGATGAAATTTTGATAAATTACGAAATTATCCCTAATTAATTGACAAAGAGTTAATAAAATATTTTAAAATATCAAAACTGCCCCTGTCTCCCCTTCCACTTGCAATAGAAGGGAACGGCGTGAAATCCTTCCCCGGATCTCCCCTCATTAGTTCTTCTTCTTCTTCAAGTTTCATATTCAAATGCAAAGGAATCCATTAAAACGTTACTTCGTTCTCTTCTTCAACCCCTCTAATCGCGAACTCCAAATCCTCAAGAACTGAAGCAAGGTAGTCTATGGTTTTCAAAACTACTCCTTTCTGTCTTGATTTTCCTAAGAGGTATCGGAAATCCGATTATTTGTTCGTCGGAGATAGTAATACACGTTCTTACAAATTTTCTTGTTTTAGACAAGGATAGCAATGCCAGAATCAAGAGACAGATTAATCAGACCGGACTTGACGGCATCGTTGTTTGTTCATCGCCGATCGGCTGCAGATCCGCTCGATATGGAACAGGGGGGGAGGCTGTTCAGTTCTCCCGCAAGAATCAGCAATGGCGATGGACGGATCTTGTTTGGCTCCCCTTTAATATTCGATGACTAAGATGCAACAAACTTGTTCGGCTCGCCTTTAAAACTGGATAGTTCCGATGGTCGAGACTTCATCGGTTTTCCAATTTCCCGGGGAACTACGAGGTTGGATGCTTTACTGGAACACACAATAAGGGTGGGGGCTATAGTGGTTTAGCGGGGCGTCAATATTGGAAGGGCATCTTATGGTATTCAAAGGTTGGCAATTGGGCGTGGCTGGATTTTACACGGGTCTCCATTGTTGGGGCGATAGAATACTCCGGTGGCGAGAAGTGACCGAAGCTAAGGACGTGCTGCAAATCTTTGCTTGGTATTGATAATTAGGTTGCTGGAGAATTTGATGTCCTAACCCCACAGAAGAAACTCTTGAACTCAATTGATCAAGTTGAGGAGGTCGTGATGGAAGAATTTTAGAGCCTAAAGAGGACACCCACCGTTTTAATGCTTTCCCCTTGAGCGGCACAAACTAGACCTCCGAGAACTGCCTGATTAGTTGCTGAAACTCTATTTGCTGCCAGAAGAAGATGAATAGTGTCTTTCGGTTGTTCTGACTTAATCGACTCAAAGAGAGTGGGGATAGTGGGGACGGAGAAGAGAAGAAGAAGAAAATAAGACAATGAAAAGTTCAAGGGAGGTTTTTATTAAAGTAAAATTATAAGGGAAGTTTTATGATTGTCAAAAATTTTAGGAGAGGTTTTTGTAAATATATTGGATAATTAATTAAATCAGCAAAAACTAAATATTTATTTGATTTGTCCGTCAATGACCCATGATTTTAATTGACTGAACCAGATTAAGCATCAAGCGCCACTCTAACTCAGTTTTTTTATTCTTCTCTTCTTTTTCTTTTCCTGTCAGGAAAAAAAAAGAAAAGAAAAAAGTTCAAGTTAGATGAAACCACCTTAAAGCAATGCACAACCAAGTACTGAATCAACGGTTAACAATCTCCTCTATTCAATTATGATGAAAGGTGTATATACTATACCAATCGAACGGTAAAGTGTTAGAGTTTGACTCTTGACCAATGCTACTATATTTGGATTAGCTGTAGTTGTCCGCATTCGGCTCAGTGGCCATATCCGAATTTCGGAACCGGAGCCGCCCCAACGTCAACAGAATTGATGTTGAATGATCTTATGATGTGTGGATTGATTGCTTCACGGGAACTAGTAGACAAGATAAAAGAACGTATGAAGTAGGTCTGCTTCGGTGCATCAGACCGGCCAAAAGCCCTCACATGCGTTTTGGATTTTTCTCTCTTTTACGATTTTATTTTATTTATTTGTTAGAAAGCGGGGACCTGCGGGGCCTCTTCTCTGTTTTGTTGTCACTTAAACGTTGGCTGAACACTGGGTTATCAATGATATTTGAGATATGCCTGTTCACTTGCTGCCAAAAGGAATGTGGTTGATTGGATGAATTTAGTTAATGTTTCTCTTTGCGGGATTAGTGCAATAGAAAATACATAAGAATATATAATTATTTTATATTGATTTTTTAATAATTAATTTGATTAAATTTAATCCGAATTGATTGATTTTTTTAATATATTTTTATCAGTTTTGGTTTAACAATTTTCTAATTCAATCAAGTTAGGTCAGTTTCGTTTTGGCCATTCGTAAATCGATCAAAACTGAATTGACCTGATTATTAATATATATTAACAGTTTATATTTTAAATTTTATTTTTTTTTACTATATAAAAGTGTGGAAATTCTCATATTTCTTAGTCTAAAATATTTTCATATCATAAATTTATTTTTCAATAATATCACTATAATTTATTAAACTTAAATTATATATATATATATGCATACGCACACACACACAAAAAATTCAACACGAAATTATGTACTAAAAATATAAATTATGGTTTTACAGATTATTCAATTTACATGTTATTCAACTAAATAAAAAATTAACATTAAAAAATAAAATATTATTTAAATATTTCAATAACTAAGTATCTTAAATAATAAAATATTAAAAATAGCTACATAATTATATAACAAAATACTTCATATTATGTAAAAACATTAAAACAAATAAAATTCAAATAATGAAATTTTTTAAATATGCTATATTATTTAAATATTTAAATAAGTAGATATTTTAACTAATGAAATATTTAACATAACTTGATTTTAAATAGTTAAAATAACAAAATTATGTAATAAATTTTAAAAAATAAAACTAGAAAAATAATTATAAAATAACATTCAAATTAATAATAATATAATATTTTGCAAAATTAAAAACGAAATTATGTAATAATAGTACAAATTATAATTTTAAGGATTATTGAATTAATATATTAAAATTTAAATAAGTAAATAATATTGTAAATAACTAATTTCACTTATATCTATTAATCATTCTAGAAAAATAACTTTCAAAAAATTTAATGTTTACTAATAATAATTTTAAAATCCTAATCTATATTTATTATATATTTATATATACTAAAATTAATATTTGTTGTATTTCAAGTAATTATTTATTATTTTTTTGTGATAAATATATTTTCAATAATTATGTATAAAGATTTTTTTGTTAGTTAACAAAAAATGTTCAACAATTATTGGAGATTAAACTACTATTATTTAAATTTTTAAGTTTAATTTATTGTATTTTTGTTATAATTTATTGATTAATATTTATTAGAGATTAAACTATTATTTGAGATTTCACTATTTATTGAATATTTTAAAATATTTTTTAGTATTTATTGTATTTTTGTAATTATTGTATTTTTATTGTTATTTATTATATTTTCATTACCAAAATATTTTCAATAATTGTGTATTTTCATTATAAATTTTTAACAATTATTGAAGATTAAACTATTTTTAATTATCAGAGATTAGACAATTAATTTAGCTAAAATTATGAGTGTTTCACAGGTTGGTTCTGTTCGGTTGTAGGCTATTTGGCCAACCAAATCAAATTGGTCAAGTTGGGGAGTTGGTCACCCGAAACTAGGGATGCAAACGGATCAAATCGGATTCGAATCAGGGTATATCTGAATTCGACCCAATCGGATATGATAAACATGGATCTGAATTTGAATCTAATGAGGAAATCGGATTTTTAGATTTGATCTAATCCAATTCGATTTGATTTAAAAATTAATAAATTGTTAA